TCTGTGGGCTGTCAGACTCCTGAATGCAAAATAACATCATAACTATGTAGTACGATGGACTTGCAGGGCTGGTGCAATGTGTAACATGTTCACACTGGTGCAATAGGACCAGGTGTTTGTTAATATGATTTATTAGGTTAGGGATTTTCTGTCTTCATACAAGTTGTATTGTGTTGGGTGTGTGTGTGTGCACTGAGGGAGTTCAACCAATCTCATTGTGCATAAATGGTGCACTGACAAATAAATAATTCAAACTCATCCTTGGCAGCTTCCCAGTCAACTCTGGGAATTTCCCAGCCAGCATGCTGTAATACTGGATGAAGAATTCTGGGAGTTGAAGTCCACACAGCTTAAAACTGCCAAGATTGAGAAGCACTGCTATTAGTTGAATCCCAAGGGTCAGTTGCATTAAGCAACAAAGTTTGCTCTCTGTGTGGGGCAGATTGATGAAACACACCTTTCCTAGCTACCATATAGATAATTGCATTACTGTAATTAAAGCAACAAGAATCTGCAGGTGCCATAGACTAACTTCTATCCAGTTAGGTCAAACTTTGACTTTTCTTATCCAGATTGGACCTCCCAATTTAATCAGGGCTAGGTAGCCCTCTTGAGTCTGGGGAAGGCTCTGATGAGGGCTCTGTGTCAGAGGCAGAGAGGGGGGCAGGGCCGTATGCTGCTTTCAGAATCAGACAGCAGTGAGGCAGATGAACAGCTGGAGCCTGTTCCCAGTGTGCGCATGTGCAGAGTTGCCAGAAGAAGGAACAGCTAAAGAGCAGGGGTTGATTTAGGAGTAAGGCCAGACAATGAATGGCCCCTCCCAGAGGAAATAAAAGAAAAGCAAAAGGGGAGTGGAATTTTGCAAGAGACAATTAGTTTGATTAATTGGCTTGTGACTCTCCGAGGCTCTTTGCCAAATTTTGCAGATATTGGCATGGCAGCTCCCTACGCCAGATAAAATCTGTGACACTAAATCCTCCTTTGAAAGACTTCGTCGTCTGTGAATTAGCAGAATTCACCACAAATTAATAAAAGGAGTTTTTGCCGGAGTTTGTTGCATGCTCTTGGAAAGCCTTGGTCAGAACAGGTGGATGTGGGTGTGTGCAAAAGCACACTTGCCCACTACTTGTACGGAACCATCCCCTCCCCCCCTGATGCTGTTTCCGCCACCGCCAGCAGTCCACAGAGGTGGAACGAGTTGAGGACCAAAGTTCTAAGCTACATCTCGAAACTTCTTTCATTGACCTCTTAGGATGTATGAATACGATTCAGTTGTATGAAAGAAGTAAAACAAGGAACCAGATATGCAGATTAATAGTTCTAATAACATTAGGTTTAATATTGATTTCATAAGCACAGACTCTCAAACTCTTTTCTAATATAGCATAGGGAGTAGAAGTCCACCACGGAACTTCTAGGTGTGGCTGCAAGGAGGAACAGCTACAAAAAATATTAAACCTTCCTAAAGAGTGAGACTTCAGTTCATGCAATCCACAAACTAGCATATCACAATATTGAAAATAGGTTTTTAAGCCATTGCCTTTCTTGCCTCTAACCTTTTTATGCAGAGAAATCAAGAATTGATTGTTGGGCCTTTTGTAATCAAAACATGTGCAAAAAAAAGTCACATGTTGAAAACCTTTCCACTATATGCTTGGATAGATGCTTCATTTTTGTTCTTTCAGAGTGACAAGTTCATACCCACGTTCTTTCGTTCCCAAGTCTTACAAATATTGATCATTGACTAAAATAGGGGTTTCCCTTCAAGAAAGCAAAAGTCTCTAGTTCTATGAGAAAGACAAGTGTCTTTAGAAAGGCATGGAACACATACTTTTGAAGGTTAATGATGTGCACACATTTGGCAGTGAATATGCTTTCTCCAATTTGAATGGGCTACGGCTCCCAGATCTTCCCTGCCAGCATGGCCACTGCTGATGATTTGGGGAATTGGGTCATAGAAACAGAAAGGCATTCAGATTGGAAGAGATTATTAATACCAGGGGTCACCAACCTTTTAGGTCTCAGGGACCACTACATTCATAAATTTAAATCCCATTGACCACTAATATGAATTAGTGACAGAATGGGGTCCTTCAGGCACTTAGCTTGGCTGCCTGTGAAGCACTTAGGGTCAACCCTAGGTTTCCTGTCCATTGCAGCTAGGGATCTCAATTACGGTCAAGAATGAATGTTTGTCTTGTAGACAGCCCAGGCGCTAGATTGGCCCCTGCAAACTCTTGTCTTTTGAGGATCCCGGCCAAAGTATCGCGCACCGCTCACTGAAGCACCTGGACTCCCAAGGAGGGAGGGAGGGAGGGAAGGGCTGGAACTACTAAACAGGCAGCCAAGCTACCAGTAAGTGCCTGAAGGACCCCGTCCCATCAGTGAGCAGGAATAATTGCTTTGGCAGGCCATATCTGGCTCAGGGGCTATAGTTTGAGGATCCCTGAGTTAGTGCAATATAAAAAAATGCCAAAATGCAAAGATTTTGCTTCGGACCACCAAACTTTTTTTCGGATCACCAGTGATCCATGAACCATCAGTTGGTGACCGCTGATTTATACTACGTCAGTTCACAATAAAAAAATAACCCTTGATATTTGGCTATGCTAGCTATCAGTACTAGGACTTAAGTCAATAGCAGGTTGAGGAAATATAATCTAATAGATTCTTAAATATACTTAGAATATTAGTCATGTTGTTTCAGTAGGAACCAAATACTATTGCATGACAGTTTGTTCACAGTTGTTTCTTAGATTTTTTTTCCCCAGGAGGTCATGTATTCAGTCTGTTGCATAGGTCAGAGACACAAAAGGTGGTGTGATGTGGGGAGTCATTTCCCGAAACGGTACGTGGGAAATAAAACCAACTTCAGCATCTCATCAGAGAAGTGGTTTACGTCTTCTTGTTTCTGTGGTCCCCAGTTTTACATAGAAAAACACATTAATTGGTTTGACAAATAAGGAAAGCATTTTCTGCAAGAAGAAAAATGACATTGCAAAAATGGAAGCCATGAATAGAATGAAAAATGGAAAGTTTACAGAAGTTCAAACTATTACATTTCAAAAACAAAGCTTTAATTATCCAAATTAAATAAATATTTGGCTTAACTATGAATAGGGAACTATCATTGGCTGCAGCTAACATTTATTTTTCTTGTTTGTTATATTTTTTAATCCAATCAGAAGATTCACTTAGTAGATTCTGAAAATAATACTTGCCTTAAATTCTTATTCCTGAATTTCCAAGAAGCATCTAGAAATCCGCAAACATTGCATAAGCTTTCCTAAAAATTGGGAAGTGTGAGGAAAATTGAAGTGTTTTATTTAATTTCAGTTGGGAAGAGAGGCACTGGTCTTCATTCCTGAATTATCATCCCACTTCCAAACTATACAGAAAACCAGCTTAGTAAAATGTAGCATCAAGATTCCAGTTAGAAATTATTTTCCTGTCAATTAACTAACAGGAACCAGTATTTACAACACTGGCACTTTAGGATGAAGGAGGATGTAAGACATCACTGCTTTAAGCATGAACTATTGTAAATTTGTATTAAATGTCTTAAAACACAATAGTTTGTGAAGACTGAGATGTTTACATCTTTTGTCTTAAGAAAGGCATGGTATATGGGACTATAGGACATATAGTCCTATATCTAGGACTATATGTAATTGTCCTAGATTTGTAGGGGCCTTTAAAAGAGCCGAGGTGGTGCAGGTGTTAGGGTGCAGTACTGCAGGCCACTTTAG